ATGGCAAAAGCTGACTCTTCCTTGTTCTACAGACATAATGAAGGCAACACCACTCTTGTCCTTACTTATGTTGATGATTTGATAATCACTGGAAGTGACAGCAATTATGTTGAACCGCTTATTAATGATCTGTCACAAGTTTTCTTCTTTGAAAGACTTGGGAGACCTTAACTATTTTCTTGGGCTGGAAGTAATTAAAAATCAGCAAGGAGTCTTACTCTCTCAGAGAAATTACATTCATGATATCTTGGTTAAAGCTAAAATGGAAAACAACAAGGCTCTAAATACACCTATGGTCAACAGCCCCCTTTCAAGATTTGATGGCCAACCTGTAGAAGATGGTTTCTCCTACAGAAGCTTAATAGGAGCTCTCCAGTATGCAAGTATAACAAGACCAGACATTGCATTCAGTGTCAACAAATTAAGTCAGTTCATGCAAAATCCAATGAACAATCATCTCAAGGCATTGAAGAGATTGTTAAGGTATTTGTTTGGAACTATTGATCATAGGCTGCAGTTCTTTAAGGATTCTCCTAATAAGATCATTGCCTTTGCTGATGTTGATTGGGCATCAGACATAGATGATAGAAAGTCCACTTCTGGGCTATGTGTTTTCCTAGGAAGGAACCTGGTTTCTTGGAGTTCAAAGAAGCAAAAAATGATTTCTAGATCTAGTACAGAATCTGAGCTGAGGAGTGTAGCCTCTGTCACTTGTGAAGTCATGTGGTTACAGGCTCTCTTGAAGGAACTACATTTTGATCATGGAACTCATTCTACAATTTGGGTAGACAACAGAGGAGCTATTGCCCTAGCTTGTAATCCAATACAGCGTTCAAGAACAAAACATGTTGAAATAGACATGCACTTCATTAGAGAACAAGTGAGCAAGAAGACAATATCAATCCAGCATGTACCATCCCTTTATCAAGCTGCAGACATCTTCACAAAACCGTTGAGTGGACAATTCTTCAATCGACTACGATCCCAGCTCAACATTGTCTCTCAGTCGATGTTCGAATTGAGGGAGGATAAAAGTCTTGATGAACTTCCACGTGTGCATGGCTTTCCTAATCAACATACACGTCCCAAATCTTCCATGGCTAGTCAGCAACATTCTCTAAGCTGTAGAAATGAGATGCATGACAGCATGCATGAGGACAAACGAGGAAAAAGAGAGCATGTGTAGTGTGATGTCCTTTTACCCTCTTATGGGTAGAATTTTGAATTCCTTTTTACCTAGGGCTAGCTGTTCACTCTAGATCTTTCCATATTGATGTATAAAAGAGAGATGAGGGATCTGTATTTATTAATGAGAAAGCTGAACAATATTTGAGAAGAGAAAAGAATACCATTGCTTTCCATTTTCCAGATTTTAGCTAAGCTTCTTTTAGCATGATAATGCACAAAAGCTTTTAATAAGTAGTTTTCGAGGATATAACTTATAGCTTATGATTTATAGCTGAAAGTTAGCTTATATGATAAAAGTGTTTGGTAAAATTAATTGATAAGCTAGTTGAAATAATAATTTCAACGAGCTTATTTGAAAAGATACCCAAAGAAACTTATGAAATAAGCTCGAACTTTTTTAACCAAACAGAGCTTATTTATATAAAGCTTATAAGCTAACCAAATAAACTATAGCTAACTTATTTGTCTACCAAACATAGCCGAAAACTAACAAGTTTTATTAGACAAAATTAAAATTAAATAAAGAAATCATAAATATGTCATATCTCCTTAAACTTGTAATCCTATCAAGATTTTTTTTTTCTATTTAGTTGTAGCATTATCCTTTTCAATTTATAATCCTATCAAGACATTTTTTCTATTTTGATTGTGATGTGCAATTTTATCCTAATAAAATTCATATAAGTACAACCATAATCATTATCATCCAAGTATATATATTTAACTATCAATATCCTAAAATTAAATCTAGGCAATTCCCAAAGTCAAAAGATGTCACCTTAACATATTTTGCACCATCGTCTCCTCCCACACTACAAAAACCACCACTTCTCTCCACCAACAACCCAAAAAATCATAATCTCAATTACTCATAATTTTTCACTCCCCAAAGCCAAAAAAGAAAAAAAGAATGTTGGGAAAAAAACTAGGTTCAATGAAGAAACTAGCCAAGAGAGTTAAATCGATTCGGGCTGGGCCTTCGTATTACGATTATGGTTTACTAAGGGAGAACGAAGAAAGGTTGAAGCCCATGAACACTCCCACGGGGACATTTCCAGTGTACGTGGGCGAAAAACGGGAGAGATTCGTGGTCCACAGGAACCACCTTTCTCACCCGTTGTTCAAGATTTTGCTTGACAAGGCCCGGGATGAGTTTGGGTTCGGGCAGAGGAGCGGGCTGGTCTTGCCATGCAGCGTGGGCGCGTTTCAGGAGATTATGATCGCCGTTGAAAATAGCAACGGGTTCGATTTTGGGGATTTGGTCGGGGAATTTCTTTAGGCACGATCGAGGGTTGATGTTTTTGGTTGGACTATATATGGTTAGATATTAATTTTAGAAAATAGGAAACACAATTTAAATAACGAGTGACCAAATTAATTATGCTGGAAAAAAAAAAACATAAAAATGTAGATTTAATAAGTGAATTTCGCCTTTATTTTGATATAAAAAACATATAGTACTTGTATATCATTTTTTTTTCTTTTTCAACTTTTGTTGAAAAAATACTTATTCTGTAGATCTTTATAGCGTCTAACTTAGATTTTTTTATTGTTTTATTTTTTTATTTTTTTGGTAGTAAGTAGCAAGTTCATCATCTAATTTTCATAGTGTGAGAACTACGAATTCACTATAATATGTTATATACAAGGGCGGATCCAGAAAATCTAGTTAGGGGACTAAATAATTTACAAAAAAAAAATAACAATTCATTAATAAGACAAAATTACATTTCTAGAATAGAAAAAAAAAATAGTTCAAGAAAATACATACTGTTCAAAATTTGTGACTATTAGAATCGTCCTCGACATTCTCTCAAATCACGAAACCCATCGATGATTGACTCAGTCGTAATAGATCTTGCAATTTCTCTTTCAACGAAAACTGTCAAAGAATTTACAAGAAAGTCATCTTTCATTTTACTTCAAAGTTTGGATTTAACGATAGCCATAGCCGAAAATGCATGCTCTGTGGTCGTCGTAGACACAAGAAGTGTAAGAATCAACCTTATTAACCTATCAATCAACGGATAAATCAAGAACTTTTTACTTTTTGCCATCCATTGGCGCAAATCAGAGATAATGCACAAGTTTTGAACATACAAATCAGAGATAATGCACAAGTATTGAACATGAGGATAAATTAAAATACTCTGGAAGAATCAAGAAATTGGACGGATGATCCTTGGTGTTGCTATGAATTTGTACTACTTTTTTCACCCTCCGCTTTTGTGCGGCTCTGTCCTTTGTTTTAGACTTGAAGTTGTTGTTTATTTAATTAGAAAAGTATATTACTTTTATTGTTAATAAAGAACTAATATAATATAATACAATGATAGATGAGAGGTATATGTGCTTCATGGGTTATATTTTTAAAATAATTCTCTAGTGGGCCTTTATGTTAGTCCACTTATCTATATTTATATAAAAAGCCATCATGTTTACCAAAATTTGTAGTAAAAAAAATCAAAGATAATTAATGCATTCTATTTCCATTAAGTATTTTATTTAATTATTTTACTTAATTGTTTTATCCCATAACACATTTTCAATACAACTTATCATCATTTTTCTATTGTGATTAAAAACCAGATTTTATACTTAAAATATTGTGAAATTATTATTATTATTTTTATAAAGCACATATTATTTGTTCAAAAATTGTATATATATATATATAATACACATCACACAGTATCATGATAGATGATTTAAATTTCAGACGAACAAAATGCCAATTATTTAAATTTGAACACACTTATACGTTTGACCAAATGTCTGAATGATTGAGCCCATAAAAAATTATTTAAATTTAAAAACACCAAAAATTTTATGTATTTTTTATTTATAAATATATTGGAAGTGGTATTTAATGGTCGTTATAGAAACTATTTTAATATATTTGCAATGAATAAAAGTTCGAATGAATAATTTGTAATGTTATTCATTATGTTTGTGACTTATGAGACACGAAACACATAATTTCATACATATTTGTCAGAAGGCGGGTTAATAATTTTTATAGATTTCTTTTTGTTATATAATAAAATAATAATTAAATATTATATAGTGAACAAGAATAAGTAAAACAATTACTTTCTCTTATATCAAGGGATGAATTTAAATGCTAAAATTAATTTTTATTAGTATAAATGTTTTAGTGAGATAATATATTAATTATTTTACAAGCTAGCCCTAACATTCTCATATTTAATGTTCTGGCTAAAAAACAACATTGGTTAAAAGATGTGGAAAAAAACTTATAACTCTATTTTTTTTAGACTTAACGTTGATTATAAGAGGTAAAAAATAGATAATAACCCTATAACTTTTTAAACTTAAATAGAAAAGGCTGTGAAAATAACACATTTAATATCGTTGTCCCGTGCATCACACGAGATACGTACTAGTATATTGTAATGAGGCTTGAAGGGACAATTAATAGTTAAATAGACCTAATATAATATAATACATATATACTTCGTAAAAAAAAAAAAAAAAAAAAAAAAAAAATGGGGTGACCGTGGCCCCCCTATGTTACATGTCCATCCGCCCCTGTAAATATATATGATGCTATTAGACACTTGTGCTAATTAATATAATGTGATTAGTTGTTGTTATTATTATCATTACTAGTCATCATTCTGTGCACATGCACAGATGTACATAAAATATTATAAGTAATATGTGTGAATTTAATATTAAAATTACAAATAATAAACATATCACATTTTTAAGATATTTGAATTTAATATTAAAATTTTAGATAATGAACATACCACATTTTGAAGATTTAATCATTAGTAAAAATAAATAATATTGATATAAATTATTTGGGTACATATGAATCACTTATTAATTAAAAAAAAATTGTGGGTAATGTAACTTTTATAATTTGGAGGGATCATGGTCAGGGACGGACGCAGACATTTAAAACTAGGGGGCACAATATAATTCATATAAGAACAAACAAAAATGACAAACGTTACATACTGTTCTCTACGGTTTCTCATATTCTTGGCCTTTTTCTCAGACATTTCTTTCATCGTCAACACTCGTACATTTTCGTTTATAATATGTCTCTATAATTAATATTACCAAATAATTATAACATTATGTTAGAACTTCGAAATGAGGGACAAGAACAAATTCGGAGCTAATTTTAAAATATTATTACAATTATAAAGATATCTAAAACAAATAATACACCAAAAAAAAGTGCACAACAATTAAGAAATAGCATTTAAGATGCTATTTTATCAAAATCATGAAAGCCCTAAATTTAAATTACATCAATTTTGAAATTCCCAAATACAAATTTAGGGTTATAAAAATTAGAAAATAATTAAATAAAATATACCTTTTAAAATAAAAAATTGATAGCTATTTGAGCAAGAAGAAATTCAAACCATTTGACTTTTGATTATTGAATTTTTTTTTTTTTTTTATTTCTGCACCCAAATATTGTAATTTTGCCGTATGCTAGAAGAAGTAAAAGAAGAGGAAGCAGAAAGAATTACGGCTCTTAATTTGCTGGCGTGGGAGGAAAAATAAAAAAATCATATTGGTAAGTATGAGCTTTTTGTACTTGGGCCCACACAAAAATTTAAAAGACAATTAAAATATATAATATATGCATACATATATATAGATTGAAAGTCCTAACACCACAGGGGCAAGTGCCCCTGCGGGCCCCTATGTGGGTCCGCCCCTGATCATGGTCAAATAATTTACTTGAAAACTTTATTATTATTATTATTATTATTATTATTATTATTATTATTATTATTATTATTATTATTATTATTATTATTACAACGACAATTGTTTATAAGATTTTAAGATTTTTTACTATACTACTAAAAACTATTTACTAATTGTTTCTAAAGAAAATTGTTTCATGAAATACAGAATTAAAATGATGATGATAATAATAATAATAATATATCATTCATAAAACTTAATTAAGTGTAATCATGTACTTATAAAACCTAATTAATAAAACCTCATTTATTTTCCCTCCAAATGAAGTTATAAAATTTGTAATTCATATTTTGCCTTTCACATTAATACACCCTATGAAGTGTAATCATATATTTTTTTTTTTTTGCTATTATATTATATAATAGTTAATGCTATTATCAACTCATAATAATTCACATTAAATATAAATTACATAAGTATAAATAATTCTATTGTTTCAAGATATTATTATTATTATTATATTATTATTATTATTATTATTATTATTATTATTATTATTATTATTATTATTATTATTATAGTAGTTAATGCTATTTTTTGTTATTATATTATATAATAGTTAATGCTATTAATTTTTTTTTTACATGATTACACTTAATAGGGTGCATTAATGTGAAATGCAAAATATGAATGACAAATTTTGTAACTTCTTTTGGAGGGAAAATAAATGAGATTTTATTAATTAGGTTTTATTTCTGAGGTTGTATTTATTGATTAGCTAACAATTATATATATATAGATTATTATTATTATTATTATTATTATTTATGTAAATGGTTGTTATACGTATATAATTTTTCCTAAATATTGGTATTATTGCCTCATTTTCCAAAAATGTTGGAATTTCCATCATCTTAGAAAGTCAACGTTGTCTTGTCAAGAGCACTTAATCAGGATTGATATATTTGAGTGGACTCAACATATATACAACTACAAGGGAGGGAGATATGTTATAGTCCCGTTACAGAATCATTTCGTTGATATTTGAAATTGTTAGATTATCATGTAATCGTCGGAGATAGTTGATCTAACGCTTACAAACCCCGATGAAATGGTTCTATAACGTTACCGTAACTGTAACGCCCCACTTTTATTTGACGAAAGTCAAAAGTCAACTTAAATTTTTCAGATTTCTTTTCATAAATCAGTGGCGCTACTCGAACTAAATCACATAAATAACGTAAATCATAAATCAAATGTTTTCATAAATCCCAAGTTCATCCAAATTGTTCATAAGGGAAACATCTCCCAATCCAAAGTTCTCAAAATTCCAAAGTCCTAAATCATAAATACCAAATTTTCCCAAGTCATAAATAAGCGTAAATAAACCCAAGTCTACTAGCACGCGGAATAAACTAAATGAAGTCAGTCAAAGACCAACACCACTCGTCTCTGTCTCGTCAGCCAACACCTGCTTAACCTGCATCCATTAAGAGCAGGTGGGAGTGAGCACGGTGAACTGTAGTGCTCACTACTATGCACATGAACAATAATATAGTACGAGAAATTAAATGGCAT